AAAATAAAGAGCAGCCTACAGGAGACAAGACTTACAATGTCCCTTCTCCTAGACACAAACAGAGGAATCTAAGCTACACTAGCTTTTATTCAAGAAACTAAAGTAGGCACACGCAAGTGGTACCTACAGCAAACAACAGACAACTAATTTCCTTTGTTTATAACTAGAGCAGAGGCTCTCACTATATGTCTACGAACCTATATATACTATTCCCTTATACAGAAAAAACTTGTAAATTACTAGAGCAGCCTCACTGCTCTCGTCCTATATAGTCTTAGACTCACACAGGACGTTAAACTAATCAATCAATCAATCAATCAATCAATCAACACTGCACTAATACTTACAATTGCTACAATTACTCTTCAGAAGCAGCGCTATCATCTGCATCTAATATTTCTGCAGTGCAGGTGCGCAAATTGTGGCTAGTCTTGCCGCAACGTCCGCAGTGCCTCTCTTTGCGCACCTTCTTCCTAGACTGTTTAGATGCCTCACCACCACCACCATCCTTCTTAGCTATTATATCCTGTACCTTACTAACTGTGAGAGCCTTCTCTGTCTAGATACATTTTCTTTTGCAACCACGCTGCACTGTTAGAGCCTTAATAGCCTTCTTTATACTATCTATTTCCCTTCTCTGCAACACGTTAGCATAGTCTATCCACGCAACCCCTCTAGTAAGCAGGTTAAGTGATTTTATAATAGGAGACAGGGGCGAATCTCTGTGTAATTGCATGCGCTCACAGATATACAACATTTGTGACTTAACCTCCTTTGCGCTGGTTGGTGTTTTAGATTCCTATAGGGTAGTCTCTAGTGGTGGTGGTGTTAGCGTGTGAAGGACCACATCAAGCTTTAATAGCACTTGCTCTAGGTTAAAAGGAACTAGTCCCGCGCCTCTAAAGCCTCTATAGATATTGTCTTTTGTAATAGCCTTATAATAGGTGTCACGGAGCCTGTGGGACTATACTCAGGTGATCGAAAGTATTTGATCAGTGGCTATCTATCCTATCACGAAAGTAAGGTTTATATACATAGGAAATATGTGTGGTTCACATGATCCGAGATAAGCGAGCAGTTGGCCGATTATCCGGTAGCTCGTCAACGAAGAACGGATGAAACGAGCTTCTGGTTTAGACCCAGAGGTGCTCGTCCCGGTTTATCCGGGCCGGCAAGCTCCACACCCTCAATTGAGGTGCTCGATTGTGTGACAATAGGCTATCTAGAAGCTAGTAGTAAGGAAGAACTCTTTCTTAATTTATGTCTTTAAGTATTGTGACTAGGCGTTAACCTTAATTAAGTACACCCTCTTTAAGGGGCCAAAACAGGCCATATTAAGCAGCTGCAACAGGTACAACAAGTGTAGGGGTATACACAAGGTAATAATCTTATATTCTACACAGTATTCCTTAAACTCTTTAGAGTTGTAGCTCTTATAGCTATTAATAATAAGTAGATAGTAGGCACTAATAGTACGCTCTTTTGTAGATGTGTTAAAGTGCTTTAACTACTCTAGACTAAGCTTGTTTATTGTCTAGCTGTTCTTGCTAGTTATAATTACCTAATTGCAAGGCAGATTAGGGTACTAGGTTGTAATTAGGACCTTGCCTTAGAAGATAATAAAGGGTAGGATAGCCTAGCCAGCAGCGCAGACACTAATAAAGATTGTGACCCACTCCTAATTGCTAGGCTAGATATTCTTAGGGTCAGATTGCTTCTCTAAGCCTGTGAACACTATCTTAGACCTAATTATGCCTATTATAAACCTAGTCTTATTAAAGTTGTAGGTATCTCTATCTAGGATTCTGTACTTCTCCTTTGTATTCCTAACTAGCTTAAACTAGGGTGTTATAACGCGTGTATCTTTATTTAGGGCTTGTTAATAATTGTATAGTTAGCTATGTTAAAGCTTAATTTGTTAGGTACGTGTGTTAAACCTGTTTACCTAGAGCTTGCTAATAGGTCCTTCACTACGTGCAGTA